CAAGGGTTAGTCTCAGTGCTATCAAGCTATTGCCAGCAACTGCAATGTAAGTTCGATCCCCAGCCAAGGAGTCATAGTGCCCCAGACTGCTCCTGTTTCACTGGCTGCTCCCCTGAGCAGGGTATTTCGGTGGATCTACCTGTTCTGCTCCCTACTCTGTCTCTGGTGAATTCTCTCAGCCCCTCTACCTCTAGTATATATATCCCAGTTCTTATATGCATGAATGAATAAAAAAATAAATCTAAAAAAAGAAAATATTAAAACATACTTTTAGATGAAGGAAAATAATTTCAGATAAAAGTAATGGAGATAAAGGAATCAAGAGCAAAGAAAAGGAAAATATGTGAATTAATATAAATTATATATAGACTGTAAATATATATCACAGATATAAACAGTATCTTTAACAATGATATATAAATAGCAGAAGCCACCAAACTGAGTTAAATTATTGTGTTAGTATTCTTAGTGTTATACAAGAGCACTAATTTTTAATTAGTAAAATTTATGTGTTACATCTATGGAATGCAACTAAAAGTATAGTAAAAGCAGTCTAGCATGGACTCTCCGTGGTGGCACAGCAGGTTAAAAAGCACAGCACTAAGAGGCTAAAGCCACTTCAGTATGAGTTCAATCCCTGCCTGCCCCAGAGGTGATCCACATGGCTCGGCAGACCTCTCCTGACCTGCCTGCTGCTCTCCTCGGGCTGATTCCATGACCTGCCTGTTCTGCTCCCCACTCTGTCTCTGGTGAGCCCTCTCACCATCCCTGCACCTCTAGCCTGTACCCCAGCTCTGTATGCACAAATAAATAAAACAACAACAGTCTAGCATATAACTAACAAGCTAATTCAGTGTAAAGTCAATAATAATGCTATATAAGGGAAAGAAAAAATGTGTAACAAAAAATGCTTGAGAAAATATAAGCCAAAGCATTGGATGATAGCTCAGTTATTTTCTGAAAACCCCTCCCAAATCATTCTAACACATTTAGTAAAAGTACTAGAAGTTACTTACCTACAGACTAAAATCTCTATATTCACATTATCCTCTGATTAAACAAACAGAAATATAATACATTTAGGTTAAATACCAGAAACACTTTAACACCAATTGCTTTACTTCAAATCATAATTATTGCTGACAGCAAACATTACTTAAAGGTTTGGATATAATGTAAAATAAATATGAAGTTAGTCTCATAATCTACAATTTTGTTTTTAGAAAACGATTTAAAATATTTTTGTTAGAATTTAGATGCTTTTGTAATTTATTATTCCAAAGGAGTGTTAATATAAAAAGATTTAGCTACTATTCTAGTAGTACTTAGAAATCAAAGAATTGCTTTACTCGGGACCTAAACTTTAATCAAAACTTTAAACCATTATTCAAGTAGGTTTATACAAACCCATTTTAACAGAGAAAAAATATAGAAAATAAAACAGGCCCCACGGATTAATAAATTTTAACCTTCTGGTCTAGTAAGGGAATATTTTACAAAACCAGTAATATAAACAAACAAACAAACAAAAAATAGAATGACTAAAGAATTTATTTACTGAAGTTATACTGCAGAACTTTCATTGACTGATTTTTGTTTGGTAATAAACTGTGACCTTCAAATGTGTATATTTATATTTATACACACACAATATTTATCTTTAACCTAGTAATTTCTCAGGGTACATTGTTATCTCTAATATACAAAGTTAACATTTAAGACTTCGCCAGACTACTGCTAGGTAGTAGGAGTAAAAGATGTAGGCCCCCAATATTCTGTTCTGTCCTCAATTACAGGATTCTTTCAAAATATAGCAATCTATCTGTCCCACTACAACCAAATTATCTCAGATCACAAGGATCCTGCTCGTGATTCTCTCTTCCAAACTTAAGAATTGGATGAGTTCTATATTGCCTCTACCTAAACTCTAGAATCGTTTTGAGGTTCTTCCCATCAAAGCATGACTATGTTCTATGAAGTGAAAATGTATAGAAATACTATTCACCTGCCATCATTAAAACCAAACTCAGTTGACTGTCAACTAGGTCATTTAACACATATTTACCATTGTACTATATACAATGTGTGAATCCTGTAATGTGCTCAAAATTTAAGGACGAGAAGTGCATGGCTTAGAAGGATAAAGATTTCTTAGTTTATTCATCCAGCATATATGTATTGGATATCAAAAGCTAACTAGACATTTTGTTGCTGGGACAGCTGGGTAGATTTCCCCCACCCCCTTTAAGATTCTTAGAGTCTGGGAATTATCAAATAATCATAAAAATATATAATTCACATTACATATAATGATAGTGCACTGTGCAATGTAACATCACAAAGGATGTTTGCCTTGAGAAAATAGAAAAGATTCCATGAGAAAGTAACATCTGAGTTGAAATCTGAAGGGGGATACAAGTTAATTAGCTGAAAACAATCTCCCTGGCAAGTATTTGTTTCTATGGCAAGCAAAGGCCACGTGTCCAGAGGAAATATTAGAGAATTAAAGGAACACTGGCAAAAACAAGAGTTAATACCAAAGATAATGTTGCAAGTAGCTGAAATAAAAAGATCATTTGAAATTTCAAAGACCACCTTAAAATTTTGGTACTCATTTTGAATCAGAAAAGGAATTCATAGGTTGTGAAGCAGAGAAATAGCATGATTCTATTTGAACTACAGCATTTCCTAACTAGCTATCTAGTGAGATGAAAAGGGATTACAATAGTCTAATAGTTCATATGGACTATTTTTAAAATGTCATTTTAAATGCTATTTTAAAATTGGTAATAGCAATTAAGTTGGAAGAGTACACAGACATGAGAGAAATTCAACAGATGAAAATGTAAAACTTAGTGATACTTTGGATATGGGAGAAAGAAAGGAGCTTTTTGGTTTGTGGCTTGTGAAATGGAAGGAACTCTAAAGATGAGTCCTGCAGTAGGAAATACTGGAGAAGTCCTGGGATTGCAAGGAGGAGAACATGAATCTAATTTCAGGAATGTTGAGTTAGAATTACTTTTGAGACACATGAGCAGGTGAACCTCATGACTGGAGCATGAGAGACAGGTATGGGAATATACATCTGGAAGACAGTGAATTATAAAGAGGAACTGAAACTGAGGTAAGATGTCATGAAGAAGTTGAACAATTACCACACAAATACAGGGCACTGAGATAGCCAAAGAAACTGAGGTAGGGCTAAAAGCAATGACAGCACTGTTGATCTTAAGCTGAGGAAGTGATGCATTTCAAGGAGACAAATGTCCACTGACTGCCAAGGCTGCTGTGAACTCAAACAGAACAAGACACAACAAAACTTCAATTTAACAAGATTAGGACAAAACCAGAATTGTGCTCAGAATGTCAGCAAAGCCCAAAGAAGGAATATTAACTGTGAAGGGAGAAAAGAGTTCAAGAGTGAAGGATGAATAGGAGCTTCACAGGCAAAGCAGTCGAGATATTAGAAGGTAACAGCAGAGAAGGTAGCTATTTCTCCAAAATAAAACAAAAGTCTTCATTAGGCTGTCCATAAATCTGATTATATTGTTACTCAAGCAGTCGTCCCAATCACTTTTTAATCACTCTAAGCACTTGCTCACTTGCTATGCTTCCACATTTTAACAGGGCAAAGTTTAAATCCACAGCTAGTAGTCCAGCTGCTATAACTTTCCCCAGAGCCCAAAACTCAGAATATGGGTGGGTGGAGGTTGGAATATGTTAATACAGTTTAAAAAAATAATCAAAGTCTCAAGCTACTACAATAAAAGTTAGGGAGTCCTTCTTACTTAACAGGTTGAATAATAAAGAGAAAAGATAACAGACTAAATTAAAATGTAGTAAAATTAAACCCAAGTGAGCATATATGCAGATAAAAAAAAAATCCCTCTCTTTCATTGTCAACCACAGGTTTGGCATCACAGGATCAATGCCACAAATTAGGAATTGGGATAAAGTATCTTTTAAAAAAATACATAATTCCACTTTGTACAACTAACATTACAAGCATCCATTGATACACTGAACTGAGAATACATTAATGTAATCAATACTCAGGAAAAATGGATGCCTGATATTAAAACGGTTTCTTTAAAGTCACATAATTAAATCAAGGTTAGCCACTAAATTATGTTAGTATTTTGCTAATAACATGAATCACGAATAAGCATCTTTTCATGCCAAAAAAGAAAATTTAAGTAGCTAAACCATGTCCTACCTTTTTTCCCTCTATTTTTCACATTCATATACCATTTATCACTGCTATAGATTTAAAATTTTAAGCTCCTTTAAAGAAAAAGAAAAAGTAGATTTTTATATACTTTCTTCATTTAAGTGTCATTTCTGGCTGACAGTGTATTAAGCCGAATATACACGGATACTATTAAATTGTCTAAAAATTGACTTTCAGAAGTCACATGTGAATATATTTTGGTCGGAAGGAGTTAATCACATCTCCCCTTTCTCCCGCCCCCCCAACCCAGATCTTAAAGTGCAATGAAGCACAAATACATTAAAATCTTAATGAAATGATAGCTAATTTCATCGCACTAGGTATTCTTAACTTTCTTTGTTGGGCTCATTCCGTTTTATGCCTCAGTGTTTAACACGTGTTGTCTTTGTTACACAAGACAAAAAGGGATCTGAAAAAAAAGAACATTATCCTTAGAGGAGTGACTTCAGACACAAAATACCTACTGCAACCTTTCCTTAGAAAAAGAGAGAAGGCACAATTTCCTTGAGGCGACCTGCAAAGGACCAACGTGGGGATTTTGCTGCACTCTATCCTTAGGGGCGGGTCTACACGTTCAAGCAGAGATGCAGGGAAACCTCTTACAGGGCTGAGGCCTAACACCACAGAGAGGGCCCTGGGGTGCGGAGGTGACTCACTAGTGGGGAGAGGAGACAAGCAGGTTGGGGGTGGGGGAGGAGAAGGTTGGTGGGGAGAGGTCTGGCTGGCTGTATGCAAGGGGGTGGGCATCCCCCGGGCCGCAAGGTAGTACCTGCGCGGGGTCGAGGGCCCCAGCCACTGAATCACCGATCCAGAGATGCTCCCGAAGAAGCTGCTGGTAGCTGAGGCAGTGCTTCACCGCGGAGGGCACATTCCCCATGGCGGGGGCTGGAGCGGCAGATGGCTATGGGAGGGGCTGGGAGGAGAGGGGCGCGCGCGGGCGCCCAGCGGGGCGACTGCGCCAGTCCAGGAGCGCGCCCCTCCCGCGTGCGGGAGACAGCACCAGCCCGGCTCCGCGCACTGCGGCGGCGCCGAGGGCGGGGAACGCACGCAGCCGCGCGGAGGGCAGGGGGTGCGGGAGGCACCTGCGGCAGAGGCCGGCAGCCTCAAAGAGAGAGGAAGTAAAGCACTGAGGCCAAAGGATCCTCAGGTGTGCGCCCGGCACGCTGGGCTCGCTGTGTCTGTGAGGCGCCTCACTCACCAACTCCTCACCTGGTTCTGGACTTAGGAGAAGGACAAGGATCTCAAAAGGAAAGAGGGGAGTGCAGTTTTGTTTTGTTTCGGTGAATTTGTTTTTTCCCAACCACAGCCTTTAATGCTCCGTGTAGATATGTCCTGCGTTGAACTCTTTGGTTGACGCTTATGACAAGAACCTCAATTAAAAAAAAATTTTTAGACAGTCTGCAAGGTTAAAATACGTATATACATCAAATAAATACAATACATATGATAATAAATAACATTATCACAGGTAACTTGGTAAATCAATAAGTTATTGGTAAATTGATATTACAAGTTAAGTAACGAAGTGAAATTGAGTTGCTTCAGAGATACATGGATACAAGTCTTGAGAACTGAAAATTCTAACAAATCTTTAGACTGGTAGTATATTTACCAGGGAGAAAGTTCAGATGATCCTGGAACAGATCTCTTCTATCTCCCTCCCTAACTCATGCAAGCACATTTACATCACATGGACTCAATTTTTTTTTCCAAGTGGGCTGAGCAGTTTGCATTTAATAGGCATTCATCAAGAATAATCAGTTATTAGATCACTACCTCACACCACGAACAAAAACCAACTCGAAGTGGGTTAAAGTCCTAGACATAAGAACAGAAACCATAAAATACCTGGAAGCAAAGATGGGCGAAACACTACAGACATACACTTCAGCGACATCTTTGAAGATACAGCACCCAATGCAATGACAGTGAAGGAAAGGATAAACAGATGGGACAGAATCAGGTTAAAGAGCTTCTGTACAACAAAAGAGACATTACAAAAAACAAACAGGTAGCCAACTGATTGGAAAAAAAAAATTCTCACACAAAGCTAGTGATAAAGGATTGATCACAAAGATATACAAAGAGCTGATGAAACTCAACAAAAATAAACAACCCCATCAAAAAAAAAAAGGGCAGAAGAGCTACAAAGACACTTCTCTAAAAAGGAAATGTAGATGGGCAAATGAAAAAATGTTCAACATCACTAGTAATAAGGGACATTCAAATTAAAATCACAATGAGATACCACCTCACCCCAGTGAGAATGATACATCTTAAAACAACTAGCAACAGCAAAAGTTGGCGAGGATGTGCAGAAAAAGGAACTCTCCTGCACTGCTGGTGGGAATGTAAACTAGCACAACCACTATGGAAAACTGCTTGGATGTTTCTTAAACTGCTAAAAATGGAGCTTCCATCTGACCCAGCAATCCCACTCCTAGGGTTCTAGCCAAAGACACAAAAACACTGATTCAAAAAGACACCAGCACCCCCATATTTATTGCTGCTTTATTTACAATAGGAAAGACATGGAATCAACCTAAATGCCCAAAAGTAGATGGCTGGATTAAAAAGAGGTAGTACATATACACAATGGAATATTACTCAGCAATCAAAAAAGATAAACACATGCCTTTTGCAGCAACATGGATGGAGCTGGAAGGGATCATGCTTAGTGAAATAAGCCAGAAAGAAAAAGAAAAAATACCACATGGTTTCAGTCATAGCAGGAGTATAAAGGACCAGGGGGGAAAATAATAGTAATAATGAACAACTATATACCAGAAACATTTTACAGGGATGGAGTGGGGAATGGGATCAAAAATGGGGGGTGGGGGCGTACACTGGACTGGTGATGGCACACAGGTGATTTGGTTATGTGAAGCCCACAGGGATTACAACTGAGATGGAAAAAGGCACAAAGTGATATAAAAATAAGCTAGTATTAAAAAAAAAAAAAAAAGGAATAGCCAGTTATGCAGGCACACTGCATGAGTAGCTAATACAATTTAGGAGCTGACTGAGACTGATGCATCCATGGTTATACAACCAAATGAAAGACTCCAAAAATTACCTGGTAAAATATAAGATAAATATATTTAGAAGGAATTTATACCCAGAATTAAATGAACCATGGTTACCACCTGTGAGGGTGGTAAGATTTCCACTAGAAATAGAAAGTAATTAAGACAAAAATCTTAAAAGATGAGAGACATTATGCAATCCTCTAGTGATTGCAAAGAAAAAAGCATTGAAAAGAAAAAAAACAAAGAAGGGATCTTAGAGCTTTCAAAGCTCTGACCAGGTATCATTAACCTGAAGAACATGATCTGCATGGCAGAAGGAAGTTACTGGGTGTCTTTAAAACTCCCTAAAACATTAAAAATTCTAACCATTTACTTGAACAAGAGAGTTTATAGGTCTATATTCTATATTCAAAGGGCTAAATCTCTTTGTACCTTGACTTCAGCAATCTAACCTGTTATTTTCCCAACATAGTCAAGCACATTATAAAATTTGTACCTACTACCATTTTTTTTTCATCCTGTTGTAATTATACAACAAAGATTATGGTATTTGAGTGAATTTAAAGGGATCTGATTTATTAACAGATTCAATAAATCCTTCATAATGGAGTCATACAAACTTGAAAATCTTACGATAATTTTTAACTCTATACATTTTGGAGTACTTGACTTCCTAGATAAGTCAAATATTGTAGAGCCCTCCACTTGTAAAAACAAAAATACCTAGTAATAATTACTGCTTAGTCATTTTCTAATTAAGAAAGATCACATAGCTGTTCATATAAATATATGAATACCACCACCATACACAGCTGTTGTTCAGACTTTTTACCCTGTGGAAATCTTGCACGGACTACTAGAACACCCTTGAAGAATGTTTTCACATTTATTTGGCCAAGGTTTCTAACAGGCTTGATTTGACAACAATAGCATTTATTTATTTATTCATTTACTTACTATTAACATCTTAGCTGGGAGTACCATGCAGTTTATTATGAATCTGAGTACCATCCTGAGTACACTCGGCTTCAGGATTCTTGAAGGGATTTAACTTCTCACTCACAAACCCATGTAACCTTTTTCCATGTCCACACACAGAACCACCTGCTCATGGCTATCTAGATCCCTATCTTCACTCAACCAGTGAGTTATATGTATACCTTCCTGTGTGTGGATTAAAGATCCAGATGTTACCCTTCAAGACTATCTTCTGTTAAGCATTTCACCCGTGAGCAAGCCTTTGATAGTGCTGTTCTGGGAGAGAAAGAAGCATTTCTCACATCAGCTTAAACCTACCAGAATTCTAACTTGAAATGTTGTATATGATTGTTACGTTTGTTGCACACTTTCCAGTATAGTCCAGAGCTATTATCCCCTCTATGGAAATAAATCTGGAGATGCTGAAGCAAACTAAAAGCACTAAATTTAACATGGAGAGCCTGAGAAGCTTTTAATATAGTTCCAAATGCTTGACTAATCTATAAGAAATAAAATTAAAATCAAAAGCACAAATTCTATTCCCACTGCATATTACTTTTCCCTATACAATTACAACATAAATTACAATTCTATAATTTGCCTTTATAATAAAAAAGCCTCTCAAAAAGCAGAAAGGGTGTGGTTTACTTTCCAGAGACCAGTCAACTCTAATAAAAAGAGTATCAATCCTCTCAATCTGGCAAATTCTTGTAGAGAGGTGTTCATTGTTAACAGGTTCTTGTCCTCGGAGTTCCTTTTGTCCCAAAGATGGATATGTAAGCATCTTTATAATTGCAGCATGGATAAAGTCAGGAGAAAGTGAAGAAATAAAAATTCAAATAGCAAGAAGGGAGTGATACTGCCTACCTACTAGGAAGAGATCACAGACACCTATGGAGTTTCAAATAGTGATGCTATGGAACTTTGGAGAGTATCACAGGGTAATGTTCTCCAGCCTTAAGCAATAAAAAAGAAAAATATTGAATGATACCTAAGGGGAAGCAAAGCTTTCATCATCTAAATTTTATTGCTGATAACTTTAGATAACTTCTCATATATGTTATATCTGGCTGATCTAAATTGATGGGAAGGATAAAAGAGTGTTCAAAAAACATTGTTGGCATTTGCTCATCAAAATCAAAGTTCTATTAATCATAGCAATGTTCTGAAATAAGGCATTCTCTTGAAAATATGTAATGAGATCTAGTTTAGCAGCATAACACCCCACCCCAAGTGACAGATACCTGGCACTAGATAGGGCAATGGAAAGAAATTGCGAAGCACCTATTTCCAGATGTGGCAGTCCACCAAGTCAGGAGGATTCAAAGCAATAATTTTGCCAACCATTTTATTAAATTAAAGACACAGACACTGACTATCCATTAACTATTAGTAGTTGCTTAGAAGGCTGAGGTGCACATATCTGCAAATAGATATAGAAGCATCTTTTCATTCCATTACCTATAATATAAATGCAGTTTTTATTTATTGTAAATTCTTTTATCTACCAACTGATAGTATACATGGCATTCATATGTAAACTATCTTTGAATCTGTATCAAGTATTATTGAATGAGAAAATAAATCAAAGTTGATTATAAGCACTTAGTATTTTGTTTTGCATATAGTAGTTTTCTATTTTATTCCTCTTACCACATCAAATCAGTCCTGTTAAGAATTTATATGTGACATTATTTTACTTAAAGGGAACTATAAAACAAAATTTTAATGATCTCTATATAACATTAATTAATTTCATTAAATAATTTTTGTATTATTTATTACTCAACAGCTAATGGAAAAGTAAATATGACCAGAAAAGATATGTTCCTTTGTTTGAAAATCTCAGTAGCAATATATGAGGAAAAAAATTAAAAATTATGGACATATATATGATGTTGTAGGCGAATTTTAAGTAAAGGTTAAAAGAAATTAAGTTCCAAGCTATAGGATCTGGGTTAAAATATTATTTATAATAGTATT